TTATGCAACGATGATTACTTTCCAAACTTTTGTATCTCCGTATTCAGAACCATTAAATTGTTTTAGTCAGTTTAAAAAGGTAATACGTGATGTGGACGAATTTCGGTGAAACTTTAGAGCACTTTTTCAATTACAATTTTAGCCAAAATATCAGCGGTCGCCTTCGAAAGATAGACATTTTTTACTTTTACAGCTGCATTTGGTTCAAATCTTATGTGTGTACTAGTGAATATAACTCCTCGTAGAGAATAAAATCAGAAACAATCTGGCAAAACGTTGCCGATGTTTTTTGATGTGTCAGTGAATTATTTCATTCCTTATAGCATGTTGATGCGTTAGACCTGAAGATGATTCCTTGCTTCTACGGGTGAGAATGCCTTTTTGCCTCTAGTAGCACATATCATTGGCAAATAACTAGCGTTTAATTGCTGAAGAAATCAGGCAAGATAAGGACCCAGAGTAAGGGACTGGGAAGACTGGTATCGTGCATGGCAGCAGCGGAAGTATGACAACTGAAGAGCCGTTCAAAATGCGAAACCTACAGTTGGCACCCTTCTGCTTTGGCTGGCAGAACATTATCTGCCATATACTAGACTAAAGTGAAGGAAATGAGTAAACACTGGAATTGGAAATGCTGACATTCCTGAGGCGTTTGTTAGTGCGTCCGTCAGCGTTATAAATCCGTGGCGGCCTAGCTCAGGGCGAAGCCCTTGGGTGCATGTAGGGGACCGCGTGGTCTTTGCACGTGGCCAGGCCGAACCTATCTCTACCAAATGCTGCCTCAATGACCGGTGTTTGCGTTCGGAGTGAAACAGCTCGGACCACAGATTATGACGTGTAGTGTAGTTTAACGCCTTTTTGTGATGTAGCTATATTCAAGGTATACGTAAATCCTTCATTGCGAGTGAGCCTTCCTGTGTATTATATATGGCATCTTTTAACGTTTTTAATTTTTCTTTAATTTGTTGCATGCCCAAGCACCTACGAGTACCATGTTAAACCTTACAGTTGTATACTTTAATTGCTATAGTTTAGCTGAAAGGCATTATTTGTTAAGTTATTAAGATTTAAATCCATATCGTGTCTGTTTGGCATGTTCTTCATAACTTTTTCAAAATATTGTCTGAGCATTATTTCTTGCGGACAAGCGCATCTGGACACTGAACACTTTGTCTGAAGTTTCTGGTAATTCCTATCGTTTGCCTGGAGGCAATTTGGCCCAAAATTAAGAAGCAGCTAATTGATTCAAGGAGGTTTTTGCTAAATTTCTCCAAAATGAGAAACTGCTTTTATGTAAAGTCAGTTATGCACCAAAAGAATTTTACAAGTACTGCATCTTTTCACCAAACCATCCTCTTTCAGCGGCTAGAGAATTGTCTTGATATGTGTGGTGTAAGTGTAAAAATAGTCTAGACGACTTTGTTGAAATACTTCGTCTTCATCGTTTTGAAGGTGTGGGCAATTTACCAAAGGTGACGACTAACTTTGAGGAGCCACAGACCGGTGCTCTCACCACCATTGGCCAGCCAGTGACCTTTGCGGGAACAGACAGCGACCTTCTGTCCAATGAGTGCATGACATACAATATAGGTTAAATAAAGTAGCGGCAACTTGTCTGGATCAAATTG